AAAAGAGAATATATACATTTTTTTTCAACGAAACATAAATAAAAGAAATGAAGACAAAATGATAAATTGAATAAAGAAAAAAAAAAATCTACCATGAAGTGGATTTGAACCCTTAAGTGCAAAACAATCTACGAAAAGGCATAAGCCTTATCCAGTTTAGCTATTCGAAGAACGTGTATCCCTTTCGAAGTCACATATGTTCATGGATATCCTCCGGAGCTTGTCCTACAGTTTACAGCAGTTAGGATGTGTAAAATTAATAAATTAGTGGTTAAAGCTGTACTAAAAACCTTTAAAAAAAGTTGAAGCTACATATTTTCTAAAAACATAAATGGATTTGGGAATGTTAAGAGTACGGGAGAGTTAAAAAATAATGTATTGAAATCAAAATTCTGTGTATATAATTAAACAAGCATTTAGTTCCACGATATAATTAAATGAGATTTGTTGATAACATTGAAGCCAGAGCGAGAGCAAGTCAGTTAAATATTTACATAGCATGTACTCGGTTGCAGAGTCAAAAGACTCTCAAAAGAGAAAAACTCGTGTCGTCGCTTGCTTTGGCTGTGCGCTCAGCTATATACAGCTATATAGCCGACATTTCCACGCCTCTCCTCGTAGGCGCACATTCGGTGTACCCCTTCCACGCGTCTCCAAAATGTGCGCCTATATGGACATTTCCACGCGAATCCACACTTCTCATACCCTTACCGTGCTGCTCAAATAAAAAAAAAATGAGCGCCTAGTTTGGCCGCTTAGCCGCGGCAGGGCGCTTGAACCACTGGCAAAAAGTGGGTACACTCCGTAGCATAGCAGTCAGCAATCTCCCTACTAATCTCTGGTGTTGCCTTTTGCTGTGCGAGACCAATAGTACATTTCGTCACGAGGGCACAAAGTACAAACATGAGTGCCCGAAGGGGCGCGATTGTTGTATGTTGGTGCACGAGTCCCGTATAATGTTTTTCTTGCCAAGGGCGCAAAGTGCAATTTTGTGCCTGTGGGCACACCTTGCGCCCGGTAAATTACTTTGGGCCCTAGGGCAGAAAAGTACTTTGGGCCTGGAGGGCGAAAAAAAATTTCTTGCCCGTGGGCCCAAAGTGATTCTAAGGGCGCAAAGAGGCAGTTGCACTTCGGGCCCATGGTAAAGAATGGCAGTTTTCATCGGATAAGTGCCATCGTCTCCAGGGCTATTTTGCGGCCCAAGGGACCTGCGAAGCACCACGGAGCGATGGCGCTTATGTGGCGAATGCTATTTTTTCTACCGAGGGCACACCAGCCTCTCAAAAACGCTCGAGGTAGGAAATAGTACTCTTTTCTCCCTTAGTAGCGTTGCTTCATAATTGTGATATGTAGCGAATAGTCAGCTTCGATAACTTGGTTTTTTACGTAAATCTAAAGAAAACTGAAGGAGCTACATGAGAAAACGTATCTTTTGCAGTGAGCTCGCGACAATCTATTCTTAACAGCCCATGTATAGGGTTGCCAAATAAAAAAATGGAAATGCTGGTCAGAGGTTCTCATTTAGCCCGACTGTTTATCTAAAAATCTGGACAACTTGTTTCAAATACAAATAGTCATCCAGATTTTTATTAGTTTATTTATCACAATTAAAATTTGAATTTTTTTTTCAAAATCTACGTAGCTAGTCTTTTTAAAATTTCAATATGTTATGTGTATTGATGGAATGAGAGTCTTATAATTCTTTAAAAAAATTCTATGTAAAATAAAATGTTTCAATAACCCCTTTAAGTTTTGAAACCTGGAAGAAAAGCACAACTGATCTATTAATATTTTTAAAAGAATTTTCAAATTTTGAAATAATTGTACGTGTAAAAATGTATTCAAAGAATCTACCGTTTTTTAATTTTCTAATATGATAAGGAAAGAATTCAGTTAAAATAAAATTTTTTGGTTTTTAACCGTCCCTAACGGCTTTGTATTGGTGTTAGCCTAATAATTTACAAATTAAAAAAAAGTGTTGTTTTCTGACAATAGATTATTGATCGGCATATGGCTTAACAAGTTTTTTTTAACAGTCTGACCTGACGTTTTAGTTTGTTTTAGTCTTCGTATACAAATAAAACTTGTAAGAATGGGAGCTGATACTATCGACTTACAAAAAGTTACTTCAAGAATTTATAATAAGTAATGCTTGACAATAGCTCAGACGGTTATTTACTCTAGTGAAAAGTAGCTAACAGATATTCATCATAAAAAATTTGAAAGCGGTGAAATCCTTATTCAATTTGTTCAACCGCTAAGACACAAAGTGTTGAAATATTAACATTAAATAATCAATTGTATTGAAATCAATTGGAAAAATTTGCGTTTTTATCATATTTTGATATCAGTCCTAATCTGTTTTGTACTAATACTCACTATTTACTTACTGAGCAACCCGCCTGTAGTTGGTCCATAGCTGTAACCACTATAAGGTGTACTAGAATACTGCGAGTACGCTGCGCTATAACTGAAGTCACCACTACCTGCAATCAGAGTTTTTGAACAAGATTAGGTTATTTTATCAGCAAAAAATTTTTAATGTACTGTAACTATCCATATTGGATTTTATACCATATCCTAATGATGCAAAAAATATGTACACTCATTAAAAAAACTATAAATAAGAGTAAAGAAAATTTCTCATGATCGGTAGTGTTATCAAACAATAATTTAATCATGGAATACACATACATTAGAATACAAGTACATAATGTGCATACAACAAATAAAAGCTCATGAACAAAACTCGAATTGCAAAATAGTTATTAAAGGTCTGATGACATAATTATTATAATAACACGGTTCTGGTATAATAGAAAAGGAAAAAAAGCGCTATCTAGATTCTCAAATATGCACTACGTTACTTTGCAACGCAGTTCCACAGCGTATCTTTTTACTGGCAAAACTTTATTGATATATTCATGCGAACATTTAGCACTTATCTAAAAGAAGTTAGTTTAAGATAGTGGAAAAATATAAATATAAAGTCACCTTTGCCAAGGCTTGAGCCTAAATCTTTATTTTTCTAGGTGGAGCCCAATTATGTATTACGCCACTAAGGCCTTGGTTATCCTGTCATTGTATAATCGTGGGCATATATTTAAGAGAAATACTTAAAATTTGAACGTACGAATAATTTTATTTGTAGCTAAATAGTTTGAGAAAAAGATTAGTTGAATTAAACCTTCACGTATTCCATTTAAAGACTACGAATGGAACTGAGAAATTTAATGATCTTTGCTTCAATTTGCTATTGTAAGTATCTTAAAATGTCAAATGTTGGAAACATCCTGAATAATATAATTGACGATCACATCAAGATCTTTTTAAGATAATCTCAATAACTGTATTAGTTAAAAAAGAGTATTCAGTCTGCTAGTTAATTATGTTTTGAAAACTAATATAATATTACATATTAGTGAAACATACAGTACGCACCTAAAGTAAAAAAATTTCGAAACGTGGAAAATGTTTGCGTTGAACTCTTGTATGCCAATTGTTACTAATATCCTTAGAGAACTTAAGAGTAAGCCCATACTTACCAGTAGTGTAGTGTCCGAAGCTGGGTAATATTGTGGAGTATGACGGAATCGTCGAAGTTAATACTTGAGGCTGTGCGACGGGAGGCTGCAAGACTGTAAGAGCAGGATCAACTCCTTGAGGAGTGTGAGGGGCCGTAGGAGCAGCATTTGACTCGTTCTGCATATCCATTTGCGGGCTCTGCTCACCTCCAACAGCCCCCATACCAATGTACGATACGGCCACTGCACCACTCTCTCCTACATGGTTAGCCATTGACATAACATACAACACAGCCCATTTACATAAGCTAGCAAATATTAAAGTTTAATTTATTGTAATAAAAATACATAAGACTTCTACTTTTTTCTACTGCAGTTATACTTCTGTGACAATACTAGAAACCTTTTGATCGTGTACGAACCTTTAACTACAAAACCCATTTAAAGAATGAAAAAAATTGTAAATTTTTGACTTCCATAAGTTTCAGGCATTTGTTATCTGTTAAAATCACTAAATCCACAAGAATGTAAGAATAGCAATCAGTTATTAAAAATTAAATAAAACTATTAAAATAATTTATGAATCCATGTTCAAGATTAATTTCATTTTTTGAACTGTACTAACTTTTTACATTTCCTGTATTTAAGCTTTAATATTGTTAAGGTGGCTCCAGCGCCTAGTGCCGTATCAAAATGGGAAGACTAAAAATTAATCATTATTTTCTTTAAAATACGGTATAAAATTATCGTAGAGACTGTTGTAAGCCATATTCTACATTTTATCTGTTACTTTAGTGAGTTAATATAAAAAAACAAAAAAGTTTTATGGTGCCCTAATTGATGAACTGTTACGGTACGCTCCTAAGTTCAAGAGTAGTTATACCTATATATATGTACTCTGCAGAATGCAGACAGCTGAGAGCTGACTTGCACTCGCAACTGTATACTTAGTCTCCGATTATTTAAAGATTTTGTTCGATAACAAGACACTTTTCTCATGTCATCGAAAACTGCGTAATAATATATACAAGATAGTAT